ATACATTCCAGTCGGGTTTCATCACTTCCTCATCAAGCAAACTCCATGAATTCGATGCGAATCTGTAGATTTCGTATCTTAAACCGTCACTGTGCTTAAAATCTCTCATAATCCTCAAGATTTTGTGGTTACCGTTATTGTTGTCGTAACCAAGAGCATATCTATCATATTTCCAATCCTTTTCATTCCTGTCGGGATCATTACTGACTTTGATCCTCCTCGTTTGCCCTAAATAGGGATTCCATACTACAAGGCTAGAGTTTTTCTCTATAACGCATAATAATATGCCGTCACAGTGAAAGATTTTATCTACCTTGATGTGGTCAGGAATATTTACCTGATTTATCGAGGGAACGACAAAGTCATCCTTGTGGATTCCTTGTAGACTGAAACTCAAGGAACAGATGTTGTTTTTGATCAACATTAAACCTTGCTGCTTCCTTGCAGCTTCAGGAATAATCTTCTCTTTTGAGAAATTGTTCCACTTTTTGCAAGTAGATCGCATTGCCCTCAGAAATGTAACCGGAGCCCTAGAGAGAATCTTCTCTTCCAAAACGTCTAGCGGAAGATTAGGCATCGTCGGCATTCTTCTAAATTTCAAAAACCAAAACTGCAAATGGAGTTTTTCTTTTTCTTTTAGGTGTAATGTGAAAAGCCGCAATAGGGTTTTAAGATTTTAAATAGGCAAATAAGGTTGGTTACTATTTAAGAATATTCTCAAATCTCAACGAAACCTTTTCAAATTTCATATTAAATATCTGAAGAAAAATTAAAGGAAATGATTGATAGGATAGGATTCCGTATCTTTTAGATTGTATTTTAGAGTATCCTAATTAATTGTAACAAATTCTTGTAAATCAGACTTTCCATGTTTACAAAAGTGGGCCGTTAACATGACCAAAACTGGCTTATATTTTTTGGTCTAATTCAATGGCCATGTCGAACCCATTAGAAGGACTAACCAGTCAAATCCAACTTTGGACAAACTAGGTCAACCCATTGATAGACAACCCATTTTGAACGAAATGCCATAATCTGATAGAAGGATCTCTGCAGCACGTACGTGGGTTCGAATACCTCTGAAAATCTTGCCATCTTGATCATCAAGTCCCAATTGGCGTGAGGTCTTTGCTGACCAATATGTGATATTATTTGGCCATAGTCTGTATTTTTCGAACCAAAAATTATAATCTTTCCCACTTCTAAACTTGTAAGATAGGGAATTCATAAAGTGATAGTATTTAACAGTTTTTTTTTTTTTTGTTTAAATGCATAAATAGTTGTCTCCCCATAAGCTCACGTACATGCAGACTTGGCGATAATTTTGTAGGAAATGGAGTCAACAAGCAATATATATTAATTCAGTGCAGTCGCTTGTTCTTTTGCAATGTAATTTGTCGTAGAATGTAATAAAGTTCCAGTTTTTCGTATGTGTACACATTGGATGGTTACAAAGTTTTAGAACTTTTACACGCATTATTGTATAGCATAAGGTTTTTGTATTTGAACAAAAAAAAAAGGTTTTGTAAAAGTCATTGTCTTTGAGAAGCAAGAAAAAAAAAAAACAAGTAAAAAATACTCAATAGTGATTGTGGGATCACTTCATTAAAATCAGACAAAAAGCAAACCTTACAAATGCCAAAATCATCATGATATTGACAAATTCATGGGTCCTCTGTAGTTGACACCTTTTACATCCGTAAATTTTTAGACGTAAAAAATGATGCTATATGATTATTCTGCTAAAATTCCTAAAAATGAATGTAAAAGATGTCATTATTCCTTTTTTTGCAGACCTGGTTAGATGAATTGACATTACACCTCTCAAGAATCAAGATACTCGTTTATTCTCTTACAATTCACTTTCTTCTTTCCTCTTTTTTTTTTTGCAAGTTTCTGAAGTAGACAACTTTTGTAAAAGTTATAACAAAACCAACCATTTGTGATCATATTCTAATTATAAACTCTAAGTTGAACTCGTTAGATTCCTCTCTCTTTTTAGAGTATAACCCATCTCTTTTTTTTTTTTTTTTATCATGTGTCCCAATGAACTTTTTATGGTCTTTTCATTATTGTTGTAAACTTGTAATTCTTCCATTTTAATCAAGTTGTAATAATTATTTATATACTACAGTATATGACAAATGCATAAATATTTCTTTAGCTATAGAAAACCAGAAAATTGATGTCACATCCGCCTCGTCGAAAAACAAGAAGACATCTTCATTTATTTCAATCATTTTCCACACTTTATTGCATGTGAAAATTACAATTCTTTAGCGATCGACTGCCACACACAAAAAAAAAAAAAAAAAAAAAAACCATACAAATAATAGAATAAACCATGTAGCCAGATATATAAACTTTATATATGATCAACTGGGGCATTAGAAAAAAAAAAAAAAAAAAACTAATCATTTTGTTGAAAATGAATTTTAGATGATCCCGGGAAAGATTCTATATCATAATAAGTTTAAAATTTTCAATTATCAATTGATTTATTTAGAGCTGCAAACTTGTGTAATCAACATTAGCATATTATAAAGTGGTGTCCATGTCTGATAAATAGATTTGTATAAATAATATTTGCCAGTGCCACCAAGCAAAACGTGATGTGTCCCTATCTTTGGATCCCACTTGTGTGCCTGCATGAGATGAGATCCAATAAGAAAAAACAATTTTCGAAATAGGTTTATAAGCAAACGATGAGTCACCCTTAGATCGAATCCAATGCATATCCTCCTCTGCTTTTCATATGCCACATTTCATAGTCATTTTCTTATATTTCATTATTTCTTCTCTTTCCATTTTTTCTTTTTCTTTTACGTTTCGATTACCTAATCATTCATTTGTAAATGATCATAAGTAAAATACAAACGAAGGACTTTGAGTCTAAAAATCTTGGCTTTTTTAAGTGTAGAAAAAAAAAAGTGTTTGACTTGGATTAAAACTAAAGTCTGAGATACTCTTATTTCATCCTGCGCAGTTTATGTATGTAGGAAAACGAAAGTAGATACGTATTTCTTTGTTCGTGAAAATCGATTAAAATACCTCCTGACCTACCTAGCTAGTCCCAATCTTTCCCGTGATATCATATAACCAAGAGTATTAATTTTGAGTTGACCAATTATTATGATCAGTTAGACCACTAATCATGAGCTTGCTTCTTTCTTTTTTTTTTCTTATTCTATAACCCAAAAAAAAAGGCAATATGAAAGAGACGAAACGTAACAATTTCTGTATAAATTTTGATTCTCCTTTGGTGAGCATTCAACATATAAAAATTATAAAACGAAGAACAAAACAAGAGAAAGCTTATAGATATCCAAAACTATAAATATACTAGATCATCACCCGTACTATAGTACGGATTGAATTTCATTTATTACAAAATTAATAAATTTTATGTTTTAGAATAAAATTTTTAGTTGTGATATATTATAATAGTACGTGAAAAAATAATATTTTTTTGTCAATCCCTATATATAATATTAGAATAAATATCTTTTCCTTTTTCTATAGTATTAAATTATGGATATTTTTTTTAAGATATGAAAACAGAAAATAAGATTATTTTTTAAGAAAATTAATATTGTTTGAACAATGAGTTAATTTATGTTAACATCCACAAAATGAGAGTGCATATAATTTAGTTAGATCAAAAATCAAAATATCATAAATGAATCGCATCTAAAACGTAGATTATTTTGAATTACTTAAAGCTATTATTTTGAATTAATTTAGGAAATTATTTTTTCAAATTCTGATTCATTGGTTGTTGAAATAGATATTTGTTTGAGCTAATTACGGAATTTACCAATTATTCACATAATCAAATATGTTATGAACATATATTTGTTATATAATAATACCAAATTCAATCCATGTGTGGAGTCTATATTTTCATTTTACAATCCCTATGAAAATATTGCGGCACAATCTATTATTTATTATTTTCAAAATTGCTTGCAGAATCAAATTTTCAAATATTTTAAAGTGTCAAACCTTATTTAACTCATCTCATCATAAAATCTTAAAATACCGTCTGATATAAGGATCATAACTTTCTACCATATAATACATTACATTTAACCCGCCGTCTACTATAAATATTTTAAACATATCTTTTTAGAAAATCAAATTAATGTATTTATAATTTTTTTTTTTATCTTTTTAATCTATTAAATATTTATGATATTCTTTAATATATTAAATTAAACTTTTTTAAAATGTTCCAAATCAAAATCTTTAAAATCTTTTATTGTAGTATGTAAAATTATGAATTTTAAAAATAAAATGATATGAAATTAAATATAAATATTCAAATAGTTATAAGGATCATAACTCATTTCATCATATAATATATTATATTTAACCCGCCGCCTATTATAAATATTTGTTTCAAAAAATCAAATTAGAGTATTTATACTTCATAAATTTTTAATCTATTAAGTATTGATGATATTAAAAAAAGGAATATATTACTCAAATATGAATTTTTGACCCGTTAAATTTGTTCTTTCATACATTGAATAATTTATATTCGTTTAAAAAAATTCAAATCTTGGTATATGCGGAAAAAAATTTACTTTTTTTTTTATTATATGGATGATATAATGATTAATTTCTTTATAGAAATAGAATCATATAAAGATGAGAGGTGAAGTATAATGATTAATAACAAATTAATATGGTAAGTTAGATATCAAATCTTATATGTTCATTTTGATTGGTCATTTTTTTAAAGAAATTAATAATAGATTTTCGTTTTTATAATTAAATTAAATTAATTAAATTGCATAAAATAGTATTTGACTTGTTTATCCTTAATGAGTTGAATTAATTTACTCTATAAAATTTTATTTCTAATGGCATTCTTAAGTAAATTCTTACAAAAGGGAAGGTTAGTTAAGGGTATCTTATAAAATGTACTCCCCAAATAATAGTATAGGATATATATATAAATATATACACATATTAAAAATTTAGATAGATTCATATTATAAATATTATGAGCAAAAAACTAACTAACCCTGCCAAGGCTTAGGATGAAGCTGATTAGAAGCAGAGCTATTGATGCAATTTCCAAGACCAGCAAAACTTAGAATCTCGTTATGAGACATTAACGGTCTTAGCCCCAAGAAATCTCTCGTCAAACCTTCTCCTCCACCGCTTTTACTCTTCTCTGATCCTGCGGCGGTTGTAGCTTCGCTTGTTCTCAAGAACCCCCCGAATGTATCGTCGAATGCTTCTTCTCCGCCGTGATGATCAAACCCGGATGCGTTGTAGTCTTGAAACAAAACTTGATTGTTGTTGTTGGAGCTAATGAATCCAGATGGTGACGTCATCATCGCCGCCATTGTCGTTGTGAGGTTGTTATTACGTGTTGACCTCTCGTAGTCCGTGGTTGGTGGTAAAGGAGGTGTCTTTGTAGAACCCATTTGGGCTGCTTTCTGGAGCAATGCGGTGGCTGACATGGCCGGAGAAGCAAGAGAGAACAAACTTCCTCCTACTCCACCATTACTAGGGTTAGGGTTTGAAGATGTGAGATCGTGTGGCTGAGGAGAAAGCCAAGGAGGGATACTATGGTGGTAATTCATGATATGGTCATTGCTTTGTTGCTCTTTCTTCATGGGAAATGTATGGAGATGGTTGTTGCTGCTGGTACTATTATTAGTACCATTGTTGGTTTCGAAGTGAAGGCTATTGATGATGTTGTGGTTATGGGAGGAGGATGAAGAAGAAGAGACGTTTATGTTTGGTTGTGTTTGATGATGATGAGGATGATGATGAGAAGAAGATTGATGAATCAAAAGAGGGTTTGGTTGATTATTCTGGTTTTGTGGTATAACTACTTCTCTTGCAGTCTCTTCAGCCAATGCTTCACAAAATGCTCTATGAGTTATGAAACTATCCCTCCTGTTCATTTACCACACAGACAAAAAATAAAATAAATATCCATGAAATGATCAATAACATGTTAATCAATGAGAATAAAAGTCTCTTTTTACACATTAAGAGAAGCTATAAAAGTCATGTGGTCCATCTAAAGCATGTAGCAATCACATGTGTATTATAAGATGAATGATTAATGCAAGGAAAAAAATAACCCATAACAACTTTTTTATGAGAAATAAAAAGAAATGAAGAAAGTACCCTGAACTAGTTCCATATTATAAATGAAGATTCTTTTGAGCTACCATATTTGTCCTCTTTCAAATTAAATGAAATTACTCATAACACAACAAATATAAGTTTGTACCATGTGTCCCTCCAATTCTTACAACACCAGAACATTTATCTCATATTCATCATCAATATCGATTTATGTAATTACTATATTCTTAAAATCAATTAATAAACAGAAATAAATGAAAAAAAAAAAGAGTTTAATTTTGGAAAGGAGGGTTACCTAGAAAAGAGAGTGCCACAGTCACATCTGTATTCTTTGGTGCCACAAGTCTTAGAATGAGCCTTGCAATCTGATTGAACAGCATATTTCTTTGAACACTTATCACATTTCCACTTCTTCTCTCCATGTTTTCTACAGAAATGCTTCTTGATTCCGGTTAAGTCACCGAGAGCTCTAGATGGATCATGGTGGACACAACTTGCTTCTGGACATACATACACTTTCTTCCTTATCACTTCTTTGTTGGATCTTTGTTTCAGCTTCCATGGCAGATTGTGACCTCTTCTATGAAGCTGTAGATTCTGGTCTCTTTGGAAACCTTTGTTGCAGATCTCACATACGAATCTGTTTGTTGCCATTAGTGTTTTTGGTGATAAAGCTATCACTTCTGATTCTGGGTCTGAAAATAAATAAAAAATGTTGAACCATTGTCAGTAAACTCAAGAAACACTACTAAAGTTACAGTTTTATTTTTATATTGTCATCTTGGTTTTTGCTTATAATTATAATAACCAAAACTATATTAACCACGGCCAAAAATATACTAATGAAGTTGTGGTTTTTTTCTTTTTAATCTGGGTTTTGGTTTTATTTTTCTTTGTTTAGAATAGAGATGATAAAGAGAACAAAAAGGGTAAAAAGAATATTCTTTTTGGGAGAAGACCCATAATTTCCAAGAAGATGACTGTATCAAATAATTGGAATAATGAACCAGTCCAAAACCAAGTAATTTTTTGTATTATTTAAACTTTTCTTTTCACACAAACCTGGATTCCCTGGTTGGTTTCTCCTCTTCTTTTGAGGCTGCGAATCTGGAACAAAGAACTGTTGTTGTTGTTGTTCTTGCTGTTGCTGATGATGAGGGAAGTAATTAGAACCACTTGCTTCAGTTATGTTTCCTGAAGAGACACTTGCTTGATCCCCAGAAGCTGATGTTAGATTCGACATATTCTCGTCTTGTTGATGTTGTACTTGTGGTTGATGATGCTGGTGAAGTAACATGTCTTTGTTCATCATCACCGAAAAAAAAACCTTAAAAGAAAAAAAAAGAATAAGTAGAAGCAAAATAATTTAGAAATCGACAAACTATTTTCAGATCTATGTATATAGATACATACAGACATATACTGTTAAAAAAAGGAGACAAAAGAGATGATTCAACAGAAACATACAAGAAATGAGCCTCTCTAGCTTTATATATAATTCTAACTTCCTTCTTTGATTTTTTGTGTGTGTGTAAATATGTATATATAATAACTTCCTTCTTTGGCTTCAACCCAAGAGACAATATCTATCCACTTTTCTGGTTCATGTTTGAAATCAACACGAAATAATCTCAAAGAAAACAAAATAAAAGGTAGCAACAAATTACTTCACAGAACATGAACACGAAGTTGAGAAATTAAATTAATAAAAGAAAACAGAAGATGGAAGATAATCCAATATACCTAGAAGTAGAGAGAGAGAGGGAGAAAGAGAGAGATTGTGGACAAGAGAAACTCTATTATCTTCCTTTCTCTGTGTATTTGAAACCGAAAAATTCAAAAATAAAATTAAATAGAGAAAAAAAAAATGAACCCTACCGCTAAGAAAAAATGGCATTTTCTGCTCTCTTTTTTTTTAAAGTCTTTTTCTTCTTAGAAATCTGTCCTTTCTTTATCATTACCTGCAAACTTGTTTTCCGTATTAAAAAAAAAATTCATAAAATTTTAGTTTTCGTAAAGAACGGTGGCTAAAAGATAAGTATAACTTTCTCACAAGCTCTGTGGAAAGCTTGCATAAAGAGGTCTTTGCAATGTTAACTATAGTTTTTATTTTCTTACGTTTCTCGAGAGTCGAGAAGCAGTATACATATTTTAATAAATTAAGTCCATTATTTGCTTTCGATATATTTCACTAGTATTTTTCTTACTCTTCGAATTACCACTTTATGTGACACACAAAAATATTTGTGACATAAATACTTATTTATGGTCCACTATAATAATTGCCGACCAAACTTAGTGAACTATTTATATGATTATTCATTTAAACTTAACTAATTTTTTCGTTGATATTATTATTTTTACAGCTTTACACTGTCATTTACAGAACTAAGCTATGATTGAGTCATTGATTATATTTGAGGTTTTGCGCTAAAAAGGTAACCTTTCTCTTGCATCTTTTTTTTTCTTTTCGATTTTGATGCTTTTCATGTTAAAACAAAAAAATGAGAGAGTTTGCATCAAATGGATTGATGAAAAGATTTTAAATGGATTAATCATGTGTCAGTGCCGCATGCCCTAACCTACTTTATGACCCAAAGATACAAAATACTAGAAGATTATACACATAATGGTAGATGGATTATGGATAATGATCAAAATATGTTTGTATGATACAAAAGTTGAAAGAAATTTACTTCAGAAAACGAATGATAGCGAAGTGGAAAATTTTCGACGTTCTAAAGGGCCGCCGAGCCAATAAAATCCATGCAATATATCAAATTATTATTATTTGTATTATTATTATTTGTATTATTATTATTTGATATGTGACATGAAAAGATAATGAATGATGAAGACCAAAAACATAATATTGTCTATAAACATATAAATAGTTGACTAGTTTGTCAGCACACTCTGTGCTTCTTTACCTAAAAATCTAATTAACTTGCCTTAAAATATTGCACTTCCAGCTTTGTGATCAACTATCAAGTCAATTTACAGATTTTGGAAATTTAGTTGTTGTAAACAGATGTGTTTTGGTATATCCATTTTAATTATTGTATTCAGAGGTAGCAGGAGAGATGCAATCATGCAAAAAAGTTAGGAGAGGCAAGATATATGCAAAACACAACTATAGAGGGCTAAACGAGGATACAAGGTAAAGTTTTCATATTTTCAGTCATATTTTTGGGAGATGAAATAGTCGTTTTACTTTAACACAACGTGAAAAGCAAAAAATATAGACTATATAAATAGACAATTCATAAATGTCCACTGGAGTCATATATAGTCATTCAATTTGGTGACTTCCATGCATCCAGAATATTACATTAGTATAAACTTGTAATAATAAATACTAGTAGTAGTATATACTTTATCTTTGAAAATAATAATATGTTCTCGTTCGTTTTTTTCTTCTTTTCTTATTAAGGTGCTACTGCTAGAAAATTTACTTCCAAGTTTCCCGCCGTCATATAATTAATTGCGTTTGAATTTAAATCCAAACTGTCAAGACCATTTAGTACCTAAGTCATTTTCCTATAAACAAAAGTACTTTAGAGTAATTTTTACATTTAAAAGGTAATCTGAATCATAAACAGCATGTTTTATCAACAGTTAATTGGATTGTCTGAAAAGATTTTTCTCTTATAAGAAAAATAGAAGAATATAAAATGTTTCGTCTTTTTGTCTTGTTCTTGTTTTATTCCACAATTATTTTAGCTTTTTCTTAACGTGTTTTGTCCGATCCTCTTCCCAATATGAAACACCAGCTCACCCAACACATTAAAACTAACTTTATAAGAAACCCATTAATCTAATTAAATGTGTTATCAAAAGTAGTCATGTTTATTTGAAATTTGAATATAATCTAATTAGGTGATACCGTGATAGTAAGAACTAAGAACTAATGCATGGGCCTCGTAGATCACACAATCTCTCGGTCATATGGTTTAGATTAAATCTTCAGAATCACACATACGGAGAATTCTCCATGAATCTAATAATATAGAACGGATAAAAATTAAGTCATCGTCCATTTTCAGTAAACTAGAAGCAAAACAGTAAGGCTGACATAAAATATATAAAATATGAGTTTAGATGAAACTAGCGAGGTGGGATTGGGAAGAAAATGTATATAGTATTTTATTCAACTGTCCTGAAATTATGGGTCTATAAAAAGATTATATGTCTCTGTCTCCATGTCAGCTATGCATGGAGTAACAAATATCATATTCTGACACCACATAAATAACATTTTATAGATCATTAAGAAATCTAGAATGTGTTAACAAGTTTGAATGATTCTAATGACTGGATTATGATATAGAACATATATATCTGATTCAACTAAGAACAATTGTTTGTTCACGAAATGAAGGTCTTGGACAAAATTAATCGTTTTTTTCATAATCTATAGTCTGAAAGGTTCGTGAGTAAGAGTAACAGTGTAGTAGAGTCAATAAGTCGCAGCGAGTTCACGAGCGGAGCATAAATCAGGAAATTAGTAGGGCCACATTGTTTATGAAAATGATTGAGCTAACACATGGACCCCATCTAGTTTCTATTCAATAATTAAATTTAATACAATACTTAATGATTAACCCCATAAAATTTAATTTAATCTCATTAACAGTCGCCCCTAAACTTTTCCTATAGTTTTTTTCTCACCGACGTCGTTTTCTACCACTTACATTAGTAACATACTAACATGCAAAGCCTCAATTATTATTTTTAACTAGTTTCATAAGACGTTAAATAGTTATATGTTTACAAATTTTGAACTTTCAAAATAATACATAAAACTCAATGATTTATTTGTTTATAATAAGGGATAATGTAATTTCGAGGGAATCCTCTACTACTCTAATGTCAACTTCGGTAATAGACACGCGTGAAAGCGACCGGTCGAGGGGACCGTACCGGACCGACAGAGACACGTGCCATGAGATAATTGGATTGTAACCAGAACAGAGCCATGCAATCTGGTCGCCGACTTGGCAGACGCCCTTATGAACACATCCGTTCCCGTGTTTTCCGTTTCTGGTCTTCCTCTTGCCACTGTCGCTACTAATAACGTCACCGTTTTTGTGGTCCCCAACCGAACGAAATGGCTGAAATCGGTCTGGTTCGATTTGCGAAACCAAATAGCTTACATTGAAAATTTGTTGGGTTACTTTGTGAAGAGTGACAATACAAAAAGAAATCGATATTTATTTAAGGTATATGATTATGAACCGGTTATACCGGCAAAAATACGAATAAACCGAGTTAAATTGAGATTGGAACACGAAGACCATCGTAACTCAATTGGACATCGAGGCCTTCTGTTTCCCTAATTTTCTCCAGTTCTTCGCTTACCTTCTCGTGGTCCATCAAGTGCATCATTCCTTCAGAGACAAAAAAAAATGATAATTAGGTTTTCGTTTTATCACAACCTTCGTTAAAATATTCAATATGAAATTTTAGCAGATTGTACCGGTGAAAAGAGTTCTTTTTGGTTTGATTTTCCGAACTTCCTCTAACGCCTGTAGGAAGAAATAAAAAATATGACATTTTGCTTGTTTATAAGAGAAAGAATCAAATGTAAGAAGGATAACGGAAGCAAGCATACCCTTGGGAGGCCAAAGTGTGTTGCTGAAGACCGGTCAGGCCTCAAAGCATCCTAAAGAGAGGAAGATATGTGTCTTGGGTAAGAAGCTATCTTTGTTGAAGAAAGAACAATAGACGTGATGGGTGAGAGAGTTGAGATTACCATAATTAGGAGATCACAGTCTTTAAGGAGTGGGTAGGTTTCTTCCGGTATGTCACTGACATCGCTGCATATTTTACAATATGATAACTAAAGACTCTGATATTCATGAACATACTCGGCACAAAAAAAATGAAGAGGGAAGTGAGTGCTTGCTTACCTTATGTAGCAAACATCACCAAACCGGAAACCAAGGGAACGGTAGTTACTTCCATGCCACACCGGTAATGGGGTAATCTGAAACAGTTAAAACATCCAATTCATGCATAAGGCAACGCCAAGAGGATGACTGAGCATAGTAGTGTTGATGATGATTATAAGCCAGGAATAAAGGTGTTACCTTTAGATCGTTTACCACAAATGGTTGGTCCTCGTGTATGATTTTAAACTCCAACTCTGAGACTGCAGCTCCGGGTATGATGACACTTGTATCAACCAAGTAATAATGGGTCTTCTTCATCACCTGAGATTCACATGTCATGGTGGAGAGCCTTTAGCTACTGAAATAGCATTGCAAGAGATGAGGGAAATATTCAGGAGTATGGGTAAAACAGGTAAACCTCAAGATCACGCATAGCAGTGTAAATTGGAATGTGAGGTTGAACATTGTTTGTCCAATCACGGAGATCATCAAGACCTGGAGAGCAAAAGACAAATCAATGGAGAAGAAGACTTCAATTAAGGAGACAAAACATGACTTTACAGGTGAAAAAAACATGGAACAAGAAAATGATGGATGGTCAAGATTTAACTTGTCAGTTTCAGAGACCTCCAATTGCGTCAGCATGAGAATGAGTAATTACAACTGCATCAAGTATTCTTAGCCTGACAAGAAAAACGCAATTAGGTATTATGGAGATGGCCATAGAATCAACGATTACACAATCACAGTGTGATAGAATTATTAGAAGCAACCAGTGATAAACAGAGAGTTCAACTGAACATATTTTGTTCACAGTATAACAATAATAACAAGTCATGTAAGAAGTGTGATAGAATTATTAGAAGCAACCAGTGATAAACAGAGAGTTCAACTGAACATATTTTGTTCACAGTATAACAGTAATAACAAGTCATGTAAGAAGCATCGGAATCTAATAGGGTGTTCCAAAAATTCTTATGACAATCAATTTTTGACAACGAAAATCCTTAATGGTTGATGGAAAGAAAACTAACCCGAAGGTGGGAAACCATCGAAGGGCACTATGGTAGAAGAACCTGCCAAAACAACGGGGTTAAAAAGTCAGCATACAATAACCAACATGACTGTAAGATGCTACATGATCAATCATACCAAAAAAAAAAGTGCTAAATAGAATCACATCCACACTACTCATCTCACTGCACTCACTTGCCACAATCAATTAGGATGTTACATGTTCCTGATGGTCTAATGTATCGAACAAGAATGCTGGTGTTAAGCCTCCTATTTTTGTTTCCTGGTTCTGTTGCTTTTGTGCATACCTTAAAGAATCAAAATGGAATGTTTTTCAATGGGATGATTGCATAGAAACAGTAGATGAATCATAAGAAAAGAACAAAATTAAAAAGGCGAAAAAATACCGAACATGTTTTCAAAGGATTAGTGAGGCAGCTAACACGAGGAATCCCTTCACTGGTTCCGGTACCCATAAATACAATCTCAGAACTTTCATCGGATGATGACACCAACGCATCAGCATTTGCATAATCTAATAAAACACAACAGACATAGTCAAACATTTGTACACATCATTTATAAGTAACTACCAATTAGTGTTAAAACACACAATCTATTACAAGATTGAATGCTACAAGGATATCTCTAAATTCCTCTAAAGCCTGATTATGACCTATAAAGTAAAATCTAGTGCAAACCCAGGAAATAAATCACATCAAAAAGACTCAGATGTTGTTGCAATTTGAAGAAATTGAGGAGAAGAAGAATAGATACCCACTGGATTGAAGGCAAGCCTGAAGAATCTTGTTGAGCGGAGACTTCGTATTTCTAGAGATGAGACTTTGGTGGCAACGGAGAAAAGATGTCTGGTGCCGGAGAGAATCGAAACAGGACAAGGAACGATGCGAAGGGCGGAGTGTGCCTAAACCCAGAGACAGAACCGCTGACATAGCCGCCATTACCAAATCCTGAATCTCGGAGGATCGATGTTTTGCTACGTTTTTGCTCCGACCGAAAGTGATTTCTTGGAGAAACGGTGTCGTTTTAATTAGAGGTGTAAATTTTTTGAGAGGCTTTGATATTTTTTTTTTTTGGACAAAAGAGGCTTTGATTGGTTGATTATTTTGTTAAGATTGTAAGTCTTACATACGGATTACTTTATTTCAATCAAAAAATTATTTATTAGATGATCTGTTTATTTTCTTTGCGTCAAAATATGAAGAACCATATATAGTCTAAATGGATTTCGATATTTTGAAAAGAAAATTTTCACATTAACAATTTCTTCAAATTCAATTCTTAATGGAACTATAATTCTTCATTTATTAAATGTGTTTAGTAAGATTTTTTTTCAAAACAATCAATTAAGAAATACAAAGTTAAAAAACTAAGTATATTTAATAAATTTCAACTACATTAAAATTATTTAAAAGTTTAATAACATAACTCGCACATCGCGCGAGCCTACTTCTAGTTTGATATAAGAATAAGTTGAAAAAGTTGTAAAGATAAAAGAGTTGATCTGTCAGTTATTTCTATCGAAAAACTTCAATCTTCCAATATCATGACTAAAACAATTATTCAAGGACGAATGCACCAATGCCCTCCGATGCCAGCTTTTGAGCGTTATACCGTCTTCAACTAACTGAGTTTTGACTTCCTCAGTTAAGACCTCAGTTATCTTTGGTGTGAAGAGATATAATCTGGTCAAATATTTCTTTGAAACATGGTACAAAGATGGACATGAATTGCACAATTGAAATTAGTTTCTCAATTGTCCACAAACATATGTAAAGTGACAAGTTTTAAAACGTCACTGTTCACTCGCCCATGTGCCTCACCAAACCAAAGAAAAATATAGCTCGGTCAATGCTTTTGTGTTCCATCTCGGATCCGTTAACAATATCTTATTTTGCCCAATCAAAACACCTTCGAAAGAGGAGTTTGAGCTCACTCTCAGTTAGCCTCTTCGTGAGAAATACTATTGCATTAGTTACATTTTCTCGCTATCATCATTGTTCTACATTGCCTCTGGATTTTGATAGATGTCGAACATCGAGGGAAACTAAACAATTACCCAATATCTTCTCAAAGATGCTAGCAATGGATGACCTATCTATAATATAATAAGGTTTTCTTACACTCATGCTCTTAGAAGCTGACAAGTGGTGTTATATTCTTTCGGCATGCGTCCTTTTTAGAAACTCAAATTAAATTTAAAATTGAAAGACATATTTTTTAACCTTTTATTTTGTTTTCTTTTCCATCATTTAAAGTTAGTAAAAGTCAAATTACATTATGCTAAAATAATTTCATGATATAAAAGATTATAATATATATCTTAGAGACATTTTTTTCGTACATTTTTTGTTTTCATCATTTGAAGTTAATAAATTCAAACTATATTATGGTACATGATTAAACGAACAATTTGAGCATTACATTTTAAAGGCTTATCCTTTTGATTTGTAGTTCTAATAACAACAATCATATGACATTTCATTTTCTATAATTCTGTTTACAACTTTTGTTGTTACAGTCTTAAATGCGGTCTCTGTTAGAGTAAAATTCTTTTAGAGGTAATGGAGAAAGTGTTTAAGTATTTGAGAGAGAGTTTTAGGAAATAGAACTTTTATTACTTTGATTTTAACTTGAAGACAACTTCATAACATTACAACAAATGAGAGAGGGAGGAGGTATTTATAGCCTCCAAACTACAAAATATCTAAAATATTTTAATCCTAAATCTAGAGAGTTCTTAACATAATATCTAGATTACAATATTCTAATTATCTAGATTATTCTATAAGAATATCTAGATTTTTATGTTTAAGGAGGTGGAAGATGATTCTAGAAAATTTCTAGAACATTTTAAGGAGGTGGTAATTATGATATTTCTAGAGAAAACTCTAGAACTTGGATTTGGCCCATCAAATGATTATTGGGTAATTGACCCAATAATTAAACTTGATTCAAAATCAAGTTTAACTTTCAACAGTCTCATGGTCCATAATACAGTGAGAGAGCCCAAATAGGTGGCGTGGCTTTCATTTTTCCATATATTTTCTTCAATGCATCTGATTAACTAATCTCGTATCGAAGTATCAAACTATGGCCAGAAAACAACAGTTGGTGGAGGAAAGATTGAAGATATCTTACTCTGTTTTTATTCCAAAACAGAGAGATTTGGACCGAGTCTGCATCTTCCATTTTGCTCTAATGATGCAAAAGACAACGTTGTTTTACCTTGTGTTAGGGATGAGCAGCTCGCCGTGTTACATCAACACTTGCGTGTGTGTCAGATAATGGAGATTTGGATTACGAATAAGATTGATCCCAATGCGGTGTCGTGGAACAAGTTTTTGAGAGAGCTTGCTGGTTATCCGGTTGGCACTGAAGGTGGGCGTTTCTTCATTGACGAGGAGAAGAATGTTTCTGTGGTTTTCGATCTAGACGAACTTAAACCGGTCATGGCCCCAGCTCACCTTGTTGGACCAAAGAGTTTCTTCAAATCTGTTAAAATCGGAAATGTTCTTAATATCAGCTCACCTTGTTGGACCAAAGAGTTTAGTGCCACTGCAAATCAACCAACCGGGCAAAAAAAAAAATAGAGGTTATAAAACCAAATCTTGTAAACAGGGGTGATTACAAGAAGGTGGAAGCATTTCTGCAAGACGATGGCTTGTCTCTTCTACTGAATCATTAACCTGTAAAAGTTTATGTTTTAAGAGAAAGATTATAACAATGGATGTCAAATTATGCAGAGCTGTGATGCAGTTTATTATCACACAATATTAGGCTAAAGAGAAAAGTAAGATTTTGGGAATATGCTCACCTGACACAGCTCGCTCTGTAACAATTTGGTGTAGGCATCCTAAATAGTAGGATTAACCTTAAAAACCTTATCTCATAAATTACCACAATCGGTACTTCGGTGACAGACAAAACAACCTTGATCTGGGTTCAGTCTTTATATACAAGTAACCGAAGCTGAGTGCTTTCACAGAGAAATAGTTTATGCAAAATTAATTTTGTCGACAAAACCAATAAAAACAGTTTTTGCCTTTGAAGTAATTTTCTAAAAACATATTTTCCTCAAATTTAGTAGAACCAACTTTCCTTTTTTGTTTTGTTAATATTCCTAAAGTTACCTTTTATGAAGTAATGAAGAACAATATATAGAAACTAGTCAAAACTCAAAAGGAAACGATCGTGCCCTAACTTCACAATTTGTATATAATATTATCTCGAGTGAAAAGAGTGGGGAAGCTTTTACAAAGTAAAAAAACTTAGTTCGAAACTTGGAAGAATAATGACGACTATGTCAGATCTCTCTATGGATTTAGTAGGGGAGATACTCTCTAGGGTTCCGCTAACATCTCTGAGCGCAGTGCGATGTACTTGCAAATCTTGGAACGCTTTATCTAAGCATCAGATTTTTGGTAAAGCAGAAGTATCAGCAAGAAAGCAGTTTTTGGGGTTGATGGTGATGGATTCTAAGGTTTGCTCTTTGAGATTCGGTATCCAAGGAATACGCAACGACGGTGATGACAAAACTGTCGTTCCAACATCTATAAAGCAAGTAAGTGTACTTGACCAAGTTGAGATATCTCAAGTCTTTCACTGCGACGGCTTATTGCTATGCGTCACCAAGGACCGTTGGAGGCTCGTGGTATGGAACCCTTATTTAGGGCAAGTCAGATGGATTCGATTTAGAAAACAATTCGGGACATATGACATGTTTACTCTCGGATACGACAACAATAACCGTAACCACAAAATCATGAGGTTTATCGATAAATGTGGCTACAGCTACCCAGAACGTCGATACTTAGAAGTCCACGATGTTAACTCTAATTCATGGAGGGTTGTTGAATTCAATCCCATATGGAATTTATGTTGCTACTACGTGTCTTTGAAGGGAAATACTTACTTTTTTGCTCAAGATATAATACAAGATCAAGAAGAGGATTTGAAATATGAAAACTATATACTCTGCTTCGATTTTACAGCAGAGAGATTTGGTCCGCAACTTCCTCTGCCGTTTCACTCTTATGATGACGAAGGTGGTGCTGTGACTCTATCTTGTGTCAGAGAAGAGCAGCTTGCTTTGTTATATCAAAGCTTCGAGACAAGAGAGTTATTAGAGATTTGGATTACCAATAAGATTGATCCCAATCTTGTGTCGTGGAGCAAGTTTTTGAAACTGGATATCACAACGCTTACTGGTTTTCCAAAAGACTTTCGATGTGGGAGCTTCTTCATTGACGATGAGAAGAAAGTCTCTGTGGTTTCGGATCCACACAAATATATACTTTTTAGGAAGCCCTGTCCCTACTATAAAGTTTACATCATTGGAGAAGATGGATACTTCAAATCTTTCAAAATTAAAAGTTCTAAATCACCTGAGTTGTCTCCTTATGCTCCAAGTTTAGTGCAACTACAAACCAACAAACCGTGCAAAAGGAAAAGAAGAAATAATAAACCCAAAAGAGAAAGGAAGAACAAAAGAAGAATGATAGAGATTACTAATTAGTTTCACATGCAATACTTATTTGTTTCTTTATTGCATCATCTCTTGTTTTCATTCATTGGCTTTCATGTCCCTTTGAACAATTATTTATTTGTCTTTGCAAATTTTTAATCTAACAAAGAAAGTTTTAGCCTTTTTGTCAATTGTTCATGTCACCTTTTTCAATATCAAACTAATTATGTACCACAATGCAGATTCCATTGATGTGTTTGATAGCTTCATGATATATATTGATTTTCTTCAAATAGATGGTTTAAGCCTTTAAGGCCTTCTTTTTCCATTCATGTGCTGGTGAATATAACGATTTCCATGAATTTGTTAATGCCAATTTAGGCATTTGTAAGTTTTTAATGTTTGTTTGCTTTTTACTAAAGGTTTTGCAAAAGTGTATATACTATATAGCCTAAAAGGGCACAGTCTCCATGAAAGCCACAAGAACATCCTCAAGCCATTATTCCAATTAAAGATAATACTTTGATTAACCTTTAAACCCTTTCATGATTCACCATAATCAGTACACTGACATGAGAGAGAACAACCTTCTGGGTATCACATTTTTATCTACAGGTTACCCAAACAGAATGAAAACAGAGCGAATCCCGGGATAAAGAAAGTGATATGATGTATCAAATCTTGTAAACAGGAGTGATTCCAAGAAGGTGGAAGCATTTCCGCATGACTATTGCTGTTGCTTCACAAAGTAGGAGACGGCTTGTCTCCTCTGCTGAACCATTGACCTGTAAAATTTTTAATGTTTTAAGTGAAAGATTAGAACAATGGTGGATGATTATGCAGTCTAAGACTACTCACTATATTAAACAGATAATGCAACTCACCTGACAATTGGAGTAGAATTTCGTATAGTGTTCAGATAAATCGTAGAGGTACTCGCACAGTATGTGCGGTAACAATTTGGTGCATGCTTCCTCAACCGTCTGCAAACCATTCACATGGATGGCATTTTTTCATCTTGTTACCAAGAAAAGGTAAGTGGATTATGAAAGTACTATCTAATGAGCATGTGGTTATACCTCAGCAAATTGAAGCAAGTGAAGTCCAAGTGCTCTTTCATTAGCATGGTCCAATGTTAACTTTCCAGTCTGAAATAAAACAGGTGTTGAAACTTAAGTATTCAATGAATAGAATTAAGTAATTTTGAGTTCATGTAGCTAAATACCTTTTTAAGCTCATCTATGTCTTTGCCAGACTTCTTGATGATTGAGCAGATCCGAGCATGAGCGTAAAGAAGGTACACAGCTGTATTTCCCTGCTCATGACATATGACCAAATATTTGATATGCATGTGTAGGTGACTGGATAATATGCAAATATATATATACTAGCTTGCCAAATTCCAGTACCTTGTCATTAAGCATTTTATCGTAGCTGAACTTATAATCTGTAGATATGTTGTTCATCAAGTCAGCATACCTTGAAACAAAATTAAACAAAACAGCCAAGTTAGATGTAGCATATAAACATTCATCAAATTTGTGCAGCCTTGATTCACTGAAAAACAAGAAGATAGTAGGTAAATAGAAATCACTGTCACCAGCAGTAGAATAGAGATGATACTTACTTCACCGCACCATATCCAATTGCCTCAGCTGTTTGGTCCAGCTCCTCGGGTGTCCATTCTTTTTCCTTAGCTAAAGCTGAGTGACAACATATAAGGGATGAATAAGAACACAAGAAGTTAATGGTTCAACAATTCAAAAATGTAGAGAGTGATGACATAAAGTTAGATACCACGCTCAATAAGGGCAGCTTTACTGCGAGTCTTGGCCTCATCTAGCAAATCAGCTAGAGGGACTATTTCTCTATCGCGATTTCTAAACCGCTTGCCATCTTCCCCCTTGACTACACCAAACTTAACATGGCTAACTCTAGGGTAAGTTTCATCATTGTCTGGAAGCCAACCTACTTGTCTAGCAGCCTGATTCAGAGTGACAAGATAATCACAGTTACGATTGACAGTTTAAGCCAAGACAGAACATTTCACAAGTCGTAAATTCTTTATTCATCAAACTTACTTTGAAGAACCTATCAAAATGCTCCTGCTGGCCAGCATCTGTCACATAAATAATCCACTCAGCTTTCTCTTCATTAAGCCGATACCTAGACCAGGAAGATTCTTGCATCAGCTACAAACTCATTCAACAATATGCAAGTTTAGATTAATAAGCCACAAACTTGAGCAAATACATACCCAAAATTCATAACAGATGAGATATATTTTCCAAAGATTGCTAACTAAAATCCAGATTTTATAGAGTAATAATTAACAGAAAGATAACCCACCAAAGAGCAGCAAGATCTGTTGTGTCATAGGTAAAACCACCATCACTCTTAACAAGCATGCATGGATTCTTGAAGTCTTTGATGAACATCACACGGGCACCATCACTTTCTTCAACCAAACCCTTGCTATTCAATTCCTCAATCATGTTAGCAATATAAGGTTTGTAAAAGCTTTCTCCCTGTACATGAATCAGTGTAAGTTATCATTAGCCATCTGTTTCAATTTTATCTCAAATCATATCAGTATATGTCCAGCTATGCCTTTACCTTCTCTTCAAGCTCAACTCGAAGGCGTTGATAAATCTCGGCATAATCGGCTCGGCTGATTTCACAAAGTTTTTCCCAAGTCTTGTGGTATACAGGATCTCCACCCTGCACAAAAAGAAAAGAAAAACAAAAAAGAGACAAGTGAGTACTTTAACTAAAGGCAGCTGTATATTGAGAGAGTGCCAAACAGAAGAACACACAAGTGATTCAGGTTAGGAGAATAGTAATAGTTAGTTACCTGTAGACGGACCACGGCCTGTTGTGCCTTTCGCTTAAAGTCTAAATCTGCATCAAATTTCGTTTTTGATGGCTTGTATAACGACTGTAAGATGACATCTAAAAGTTAGAAACTGAATTGCTTTGATTCTTCAGGATAAAGCACAGTATGCCAATATCCGTACATAAGGAAGAACAGCAAAACAGCCTACCTGAATATCTTCAATTGCTGTCTCCATCGCACTATTTGAATCAGGAAATTTCTCAAAGAGGTACTCAATTAACATGCCAAACTGCAAAATAAACTCAGCTTTTATCTCTTTGATAAATATTTGAATGCCAACAATAAAAAAAACATTTGGTTTCACCAGACGAAGTAATTATTTAAAGAGCAGAAAATGTAGCTACCTGTGTTCCCCAGTCACCAACATGGTTTCTGCGTAGAACTTCAACATTAGAGTACTCGAGCATACGAGCTATGGTGTCACCGATGATAGTTGATCTTAAATGACCAACATGCATTTTCTTTGCAATATTTGGAGAGGAAAAATCAACTACAGCTCTCTTAACTGAAAGAGTAGGCGCCCATGTCTCAATCCCATTGATAAGCATATTTTCAATACTCTGCAGATAACATTAGAATAAAAGCAATGATTACGAGGACTAGAAAATGACTATACAAAGAGAGAAGTAAAAACATGATCGCTTACTTTAGCCATCCATTGAGCTGATAGTACAACATTAACATATCCAGGTTGTGCAACAGAGCATGATTCCACCATATCACAAGTAGGGAGATTTGTAACAAGGGCCTATATAATAATATAAGTGACAATCTGATAAGAAACAAAACAAAAGACACGAAATTTCTAAAGACTAAAACAAAACCAACCTCTGCAACAGCTAAAGGACGAGTGAATTGAGTACCCTTTCCTTTAACTTTGGACCATAGTCCCATTGCATTGTTACTGCAGACAAAACAAATACATGAGCACAGGATCTGCATTTAACAAAACAAAGATTGGAACTTTAATTGGTGAGTACCATTGGTAATCTTCGAATTTTCCAACCACAACCAAAGGCTTAACACTAGGTTCATCTGGAACCGTTAATTTCAGAGACGCATCAAAGAGCTTCACGAGCTGCTGTTTCAGATTTCCAGTGAAATCTTCTTCCTTCTGTCATCACATAAACTCAAAAATCAGAAAAAATTTAAAATTTTGGGTTTCTCTTGGATTCAATAAAAGGAAATTGTGACTTACAGCTACCATGGTCTCCAAGGCGTTGCTTCTTCTCAAAGCTGAGAGTCTAGTTTACAGGACGTGAGAGTCTCTAACCTGTAGGGATGATAAGAACAGAGGAATTTACCAATGACGTGATGGAAAAGCTAAAACACTTGGAAGAAGAAAAGATCAGACTAAAATTAGGGTTTCCTTTTTCTTCTCTGCGTCTGTGCTTCTTCGTCTTTTTGCTTGTACGGCGTCGTCTCTTCGTTTATATAATAGTGGGCCGATCTGGCCCAATAAGTATAATTTATTTTTTCTTTTTTTTTGTTGGTAAGAACTTCCAATCTGAACCTATCCCGAAAATTTGAAAAGGCCCATGAATAGATTATTATGTACGCAGGAGGGAAACGACGACGTTTCTAAGATGCGTTAATTTTTAAGACGGTTCGCCGGTGTACGGCTTTTACAATTTTGTGTGAACAAAAAAAAGTCAAAACAAAATCTCAGCTGGTCCGTTCATATAATAATATAATAATTGTATTATCATAATCTAATATTAATCCGATATGAGACGTCATTTTATAAATGACTATGATTTTTATTTTTCATATCGTCTCAAGATTCTATCAAGATTATCCATTATTGTATCAAAATCCGGATGATAAATGGGTCGATCTGACTTTTTGTTATTCATTGTCCTCATATGTACGTTATATTGATGATGTCTCGTTATGGGAATATGTACACACACAAAAAGGTCCATTGATGAAAAAGATGTTAGCAAATTGTTGACGAAAAAAAGGTTAGAAAAATGAATTTTTTAGAAGAACAATAATATGAAGTCAGCCAAAAACTTTCTAAATTAGTTATTAGAGTAAGGACCTATTAGTAATAACAGTAAAGAAAACATGTGGATGATGTAGAAAATTCAAGAGTTTTCATTCGAAGACCTAATTTTTTCTCACAATCTTATCTCGTGAGTGTTGTGTTGTCGCTGAAAATGGAATGTATCATTTGTCATTATCCATTTACGAAAAATAAAATTTTCCCATTATTTTACTATTTGAAACACCTTTACACTTTATAGAGCTTACTTGTGTAGATTTTTATTGAAACGAACGGACATGTAGTCAACTTTGATGCCCTGATACTTGGGTAATCTTTTTTTTTTTTTTTTCGTCTGAATGATTCATATGATATAAGAACACAAAGTTCACAATTACAAAAAAGGGACCGAAAGCAATCAAACTACAGAACTTGTTAGTTGTTAATAAGTGTGAAATAGCTTGATAATAGAATGCCATTTTTCTGTGTGGAATATTTTTCCTGTGTGCTATTTTTATATAATAAAGACCATAAACATGGTGTGGGTCTTCTTCGCTCTCCAGTTCGATTCCTTCTTCTGTATCAAATATTTGACCCCAAAAAGTATTTTAAATATTTATCACAAAAGACGCAAAATAGCTTGCGAGTTTTCCGTCAATGTTAAACGATTATCTAGACTTCCACATGGTTGGTATAGGATGGGGATATATATAATACAACACGCCAATCTTTAAATCGTTATATTGTTCTCGTTATGGTGAGATTTATAGCTAAACTTAAAAAATTAGGATATGATACGATCGAGTTGCCAACTATTTTCTTAAAAATCATTTTTCATTGGATTAATTAAAACATGGTGGTATGAAATTCAATAATTGTTATATATATTTCCTGTTGATAAAACAAAAAAATTGTAACAGGTCTTAAACTTGTCGCATATGTCATTTTAATTTTCGCTTATATATCAACCATGTGTTTAGAACATGCATGACTAAATAAAGTAGTCTTGGTAACAAAAAAAAAAAAAAGAGAAGCGGATTGGCGAATGAAGTATCAAGGTCAATGGATACTGGTTAGGTTGGAGCTTACAACGTGGTAACTGGTAAGGTCTGTTTTTGGTATGTCAAAAGACTAGAAAGTTGTATAAAAATGTGAAGCAGGATATTACTACAAAGGGACAAAGGTAGAGTCCAAATTTTGACTTTTTCAATATAATATTCAAAGATTAAATTGCTCTTTTTCATTAATGTATTGTTTAATCGATCTCCACGCCTCGTGTATGGCCGGATGGTGGAGAGTCCAGACACGTTCTTTATTAACTCTTGTTGATTTCTTGACGTCCGCTAAAAAATATCGAATTCGTAATTTTATTATTTTATAGTATAGTATTATTAAAAAAACAAGTTATTCTCGAGATGTTAGACACTTAGACTCGCATAAGCATATATTGAACCTGATATAGTCACAGCTGTTATGGAATACACTTTTGATAGCCTAAAATAGTTGACTTAATGGGATAAAAATATATTCAGACTCGAGCAAGTAAAACGTAAAACATATTCTTACAAATAACTTACAAGTTACATATAACCAGTGTTATGTTTATCATGTACACCAAAACGCTATTAATTGTGGATATATATCTGTACTTTGTGAATTTGACATGACCAAAATTTTAGATAAGAAAATTACTTCTACAAGTAAAAGTATACAACTTTTTAGCCGTAAAAAAAAAAAAGGTGTACAGCTTTTCAGAACGATTTCGTATATTAACTTTTGTTCCTTCAGTTTTATATAGTACTATCATTTTTACTCCCCTTTATTTTTTGTTCTTTTTAATTTATATCGTTTCTTTACTAGAAATTATAAAAGATTGAAAACCCATCACAAACCTCCAATCAGTTGATCACCAATAGAAACAACAAAATACAGTATGATCTAATTTTTAGCGAAAATTTACGAATATTGTGGAAACAACTTGTATAGATGCCTGACTTATGCCAGTATTATTTTTTCTTGACTAATAGCGGTATAACATACATTATTCACATCTTAGCCAAAAATTAAAAAACTTTATTAATAAATATAATATTCAAATTTCGATATTGACAGGCTTGCCCTCGTCCTTTGCCTATAAATTTGACATGATCTACATTCATTCAAACAAAAACCAAACCAGGCCAGAAAGAAAATAAATACACACAATGACCAAAGAAGTTTGCTCCAACATTGGACTTTGGTTATTGTTCACGTTACTTATTGGTAACTATGTCGTCAATCTTGAAGCCTCGCACCATGTTTACAAGAGACTAACCCAAAGCACTAACACCAAGTCTCCTTCCGTAAACCAGCCCTACCGGACCGGTTTCCATTTTCAACCTCCAAAAAATTGGATGAACGGTATGATCACTAAAATGCCATATCAAAACTCAATATCAATGATAGAATATTGTTTTCATTTCTTTCTAACCTTTGCTTTTTCTTTCGTTTTGGTTGTGCTTGGACCAAATGAATTGATCATTGTCATGAGCAGATCCAAATGGTTAGTTTTTTTTCTCTTATTTCTCCTATCCTTTTATATAACTTTTAGTCAACTCTTCATATCCAATAGACAGATCATTTTCCCCTAGAAACTCGTGTTTTTATTAATTTTAAAAAACATTGATTACTTATTACACCAATATGTCAGCATACCAACTGTACATTTGATTATTCTAATGTATTGGTCGACCTTATGTTACGCTGCACGATCCTTTTACACTATCCATATAGTTAATTAATAAAAATACACATATTTAAAATTTTAATACAGGGCCTATGATATACAAAGGAATATATCATCTTTTCTACCAATGGAACCCCAAAGGAGCCGTGTGGGGTAACATTGTGTGGGCTCATTCCACGTCAACAGACTTAATCAACTGGGAACCACATCCTCCAGCTATCTTCCCATCTGCACCCTTCGATATCAACGGATGCTGGTCCGGTTCGGCTACAATTCTCCCTAATGGCAAACCGGTTATCCTCTATACCGGAATCGACCCTAAGAACCAACAGGTCCAAAACATAGCCGAGCCTAAGAATCTCTCTGATCCTTATCTCCGAGAATGGAAAAAATCGCCGTTAAATCCTCTGATGGCTCCTGACGCGGTTAACGGAATCAACTCCAGCTCGTTCCGTGACCCAACCACCGCCTGGCTCGGCCAAGACAAGAAATGGAGAGTGATCATCGGAAGCAAGATTCACCGTCGTGGACTAGCCATTACTTACACGAGTAAAGACTTTCTAAAATGGGAAAAATCTCCAGAGCCGTTGCATTACGACGACGGAAGTGGAATGTGGGAATGTCCTGATTTTTTCCCGGTCACGAGGTTTGGTTCTAACGGCGTGGAAACGTCTTCGTTTGGTGAACCTAATGAGATTTTAAAGCACGTGTTGAAAGTAAGTTTGGACGATACGAAACATGACTATTACACGATTGGTACGTACGACCGGGTTAAAGATAAATTCGTACCGGACAATGGTTTTAAGATGGACGGTACGGCTCCAAGATATGACTACGGGAAGTATTATGCGTCGAAAACGTTTTATGACTCTGCCAAGAACCGGAGAATCTTGTGGGGTTGGACTAACGAATCATCGTCTGTTGAGGATGATGTTGAGAAAGGCTGGTCCGGTATTCAGGTAATTTTTTACACTAAATTGAAATTAATGTGAATATAATTTGGTTAAAGATCGAATCAAATTTTTTGTTTCTTTCTTGATTAGACTATTCCGAGGAAAATATGGCTTGATCGATCAGGGAAACAATTAATTCAGTGGCCGGTTAGGGAAGTTGAAAGATTACGTACTAAACAAGTCAAAAACTTACGCAACAAAGTTCTAAAGTCAGGATCTAGGCTTGAAGTCTATGGTGTGACAGCTGCACAGGTTTGATTATTCTAATTTTTTTTGTAAAACTCAAATGGTATGAGAAAATTAGGTTTTTAAAAGTCTTGTGATTTGTACAGGCGGATGTGGAAGTTTTATTCAAAGTAAGAGACTTGGAGAAAGCGGATGTGATAAAACCAAGTTGGACTGATCCGCAGTTGATTTGTAGTCAGAAGAATGTATCGGTTAAGTCTGGTTTAGGTCCATTCGGTTTAATGGTTTTGGCATCTAAGAATTTGGAAGAGTACACATCTGTTTATTTTAGAATCTTCAAAGCCCGTCAAAACAACGATAAGTACGTTGTGGTCATGTGCAGTGACCAAAGCAGGTACGTTTCTTTGATTAAGTTCCCGATTAATTAAGTACACTAATTTAGCTAATCTTTTGTCACAAAGGTAGATCTAAAATTTGGGTTCCCTTGAAAATAATAAAGAAATATCCAAAACTTGACTTTTAATTTTGAGGACTTTTTGGTGATGTGGATTTGGGACAGATCTTCTCTGGAGGAAGATAATGACAAAACGACCTACGGAGCTTTTGTGGATATTAATCCTCACCAACCACTATCCCTCAGATCCTTGGTAATTAATTAAGTCTTCTTTTTACACATATATAGTTCTATAAATATTTATTTATATATGTGTTCAATGTTAAAAAGGTATTCAAATGTAGGAGAAAAAAACTACTTTTTGCGAATATTCTTTTTAAAACCCATGAGAGTAATTACTTAACAGCTTAGCCTCTTGAGTCTTGATCAATATATAATCTTTAACTATATTGTTCAAGTATATAAATATATATATTTTTAATTAAATATATAGATATAATACTGTGGATTTTGTTAGTAAAAGTTTCTGTTATTTGTCGTTGTTGGTGTAGATTGATCATTCTGTAGTGGAGAGTTTTGGTGGAAAGGGGAGAGCATGCATTACCTCAAGAGTGTATCCAAAATTGGCAATAGGAAAAAGTTCACATCTCTTTGCTTTTAATTATGGATATCAAAGTGTTGATCTCTTAAACCTAAATGCTTGGAGCATGAACTCTGCCCAAATCAGTTGATCAAGTAACGGGGAGATAGATACACACATGTAAACACATTATATCTCCATTGATTTAGCATTTATATGAGTTGATTTTGGAGAGATCTTATATGGTCCACTTTGTTTGGTTGTCAAAAAAATGGTCCAATTTGTTTGTTTGAAATAATTCTAAAAGGCTATAGATATGACATTTTATTTGACTTCTTATAGTATATGATTTACAAAATAATAAAAATTACAATTCTGTCGTCGGTAGTCAAAATCTCCCAAGTTCCAACGAACGTGATAATAGTGGACTTTCTGTGAATATACACGTAAACATGTATACATATACATGCTATACCAAACAAAATGAATACGATTTTAACGGTTTGGCCCCAAAAAATAAAATAATATGTATGTGTATATATGATCATTATATATAAATCAGCACATGTAAATTTTTCTGATAAGCCCGACGGCTATTCTACCACGGGTATGAAATTGTCCAATATGACATAACGAACATATAACACTAGCGCCTATCCATAGAGATGCCAACATAATTTATTTATTACAACGGCGTTGGGTTTACATTGTTTTCATCTAAACGGGCAACCGTTTTAGCCTTTAAGACCAACAACTTCACGTCAACGAATCTGGTCAACTAATTAAAGCGATCAAACCATCTCCACCGTCCGATTCTAATCCAACTTCGTCATGTCCCGCCTGTACAGAACAAGAAAGACTGAAGCTTTTAGAAAAATGTTTACTTTCTTGATAAATTGTAATAGGGTTTTACACTTGAGTTATATACAGTAAAGTAGAAAGATCTAGATACCGAAGACTCTAGAACAATGCCAATCTTATCTACAAACGGCTAATGCAGCTGGCTGTGATGAGTCATCAACAGGCTCCTTCCTTGAAGCTTCGTTACTCTGTTTTGCAAAAGAAGAAGAATCATCTTTTGTCATCTTCTGTTGCCTGGACTGTGGTGGGCTTTCTGTTGTTGGGCCTGATACTTGTTTATTGCTCACACCGCCCAAGGGCAAGCCCGTAATTCTGTTCACCGGCAACGATGGGAGTGGCATGTGGGACAGAACATTGCATGGTAGTAAACATTTGGCTCTAGATTTAGAATACGTGCGTGAGATGTAGCCAGAGGAAGTTATCGGTCGAATCCCGGTTGTGTCCACTTTGGTGTGTAATGATTCTCGCCTGCACATCTATCTCTTTCGAAATTTAAGGCTCAAGCAACAGTGATGATTTGGATATGTGCACTATGCAGCGACCAAATCAGGTGCATTTTCATTTCATTTTATCAGAACTCAGAAGTTGAAATTGTACTCTCATATTCATTAACCAAAACAAAAACTTCTCAAATTCAAATTAATGAAAATTTATGTTTCTGCTAATAATCTGTGCCTATTAGACTTCGATAAAGATGAGTAAGAATTTTTTTTCAGTACTATAGTTTTATTACTTGGGGGATATAATTCGTTAGTAATCAGATAATCGGAAACTTTGTAGTATTTTCTCTATCTTTTATTTTTCCTTTAAAAAAAAATTATTTGAATAAGGTGACCTGAATACCTGATACATGAAAGCTATATATTATTATTAACGATGTCAAGTTTCATCTATTTTTCAACTTAAATTTAATTGGCAATAACTTGATCCACTTTTAACTTTCGATGTGGTATATATTTTAATTTTCACGTCTTCTCGAGTAAGATGATAGTATATTGGTTCATCATTATTACTAAACTTCTCCTCAAGAATTTGTTAAGTTCTTAGTTTCACAGCATGAAATTTACAATATATATCTACACACCCGTGTGTCTCTTCACATATACATTGATGAAATGGTTAAATATCTAGTTGTTATAATATGGATTTTGGAAAGCACATGCACAGCATATAAAAGTGCATGTGATTACCCATTACGGAAAAAAACCCCATCAAAATGATTAGGAGAATGTGATAATCATAGGAGAAATCTTAGTGGAGCGATCTCACTTTTGAGGACATTTTGATTTTTTCTTTCTAAATTGAGTTCCAAGATAGAGAGTTCAAGAAGAATCACGTGTCAATCTACTAGTAGGTATAATCCTATTCAATTTCAAATTGACTTCTCAATCTATATTTGTTTTCCTGTTATAGATTGAGCATTTCAATAGTGGAGAGCTATATATGGTGGGGGAGGCAAATCATGCATAAACATCAAAACTGTATCCAAAGCTGGCTATAGAGAAAAATGAACATTTTCGTTGCTTTTTAACAGACCAAATCAATAGTGTTGATTATTTTACACCGCATCAATGACAATGATGAGACACTGACATTCATAAAGGAGTCATACTATTAATTAGTGGAAAATATTTGCATTATGAGAGGACAAAAGGCTATGAGATTTTGAACATTCCTGACTGTCGGGAATACGTTATTATTTAGCATTGTCTATTTATTTAAAATTTGTATTTTCATATATCCAGTATCAACCAAAATTGGTGAATTAATCGTTGAGAAATGCAATCATCCCAACTTCATGATGCTAGTTAACTTATGAGTATATCCTACCTTGACAAATATATATCTTTCCAAAAAATCAAAATTGGATATCAAATTATCAACTAACATAAAAAGGCATTTGGATCGAGATTATCGAATCTAATTTTCACAATATATGGACCCGCCCCCAACCACATCAAGCACGCACCAAGGACTCTCACTGCCTATAAATTTGACATTTTTTCCATAAGTAAAACTCAAACCAAAAAAAAAAATTGCAATGGCTAATATAGTTTGGTGTAACATTGCCATTTTCTTGTTGGTCTCGTTGTTTCTCGCTGACAATACTATTGTTGTTCTTGATGCCTTGCACAACGTTCCCAATAATATCAAGAACCAACCTTACCGAACCGGTTATCATTTCCAGCCTCCCAAAAATTGGATGAACGGTATTGTTATATACCGGACACATTAATTCAGTTTCACTTGGTTATCTATGTTTCATTTCTCTATATACTTTCATTACTTTGTGTACATTATCAAATCGTTTCACTTATTATTATTTTTTGCTTATGTTGGGGGTTTGTCACAATGCTACAAGATCCTAACGGTTAGTTTATTCTCTTCCTCAATATTATTTTAGAAGTTAAGTATATGTATGCATATTGATAAATTAAATCGAATTTATATGTTATTGTACATAACATTTCCACAGGGCCTATGATATACAAAGGAATCTACCATCTATTCTACCAATGGAACCAAAACGGCGCCGTCATGGACGTTAACGAAACCGTATGGGGCCATGCAACGTCAACGGATCTAATCAACTGGATCACACTTTCTCCAGCAATCAAACCATCTCGACCGTCCGATATCAACGGATGCTGGTCTGGCTCCGCCACGATTCTCACTAATGGCAAACCCGTAATTCTTTACACTGGCAACGACCGTTATAACCGTCAGGTTCAAAACCTAGCTAAACCTAAAAACCTCACCGATCCATATCTCCGTCACTGGACCAAATCGCCGGAAAATCCCCTTGTGACACCTAACGCCGCCAACCACATCAACTCCACCGCGTTTCGTGATCCAACCACCGCGTGGCTAGGCCGTGACAAGCGTTGGCGCATAACCACTGGAAGCCAAGAAGGTCGCCGTGGATTAGCGATTCTACACACGAGCCGCGATTTCGTACGATGGAAGCAATCTCCGAAGCCTCTTCATTACCACGACGGTACCGGAATATGGGAGTGCCCTGATTTTTTCCCGGTGTCGAGAACTGATTCACGCGGCCTCGATACGTCGTCGTCTGCTGGGCCGATGATTAAACACGTGCTTAAAGTGAGCTTAACAGATACTTTTCGTGATTACTACACGATTGGTACGTACGATGAAGTGAGAGATGTCTACGTACCCGACAAGGGTTTTGTTCAGGACGAAACGGCTCCGAGATACGATTACGGCAAATTTTACGCGTCAAAGACATTTTACGACTCTGTTAATCAACGGAGGATTTTGTGGGGTTGGGTTAACGAGTCATCGCCGGAGAAGGATAACATCAAGAAGGGTTGGGCTGGTTTGCAGGTAGTTAAACCGGTTGAGATTTTAACATTTTGCCTCATTAAAACAAATTTAGACATAATTACTGAATTAACCGATTTTGTGGTGATTTAGGCTATTCCTAGGGAAGTATGGCTTGATGAATCAGGAAAGAGATTGGTGCAATGGCCGGTTAAGGAAATAGAGAGGTTACGTACAACGCAAGTCAAGTGGGGAAACAAAGTTTTAAAAGGAGGAGGATCGGTCATAGAGGTTCATGGAGTCACAGCTTCACAAGCAGACGTGGAGGTTTTCTTTAAAGTGAGTGGTTTAGACTTAGAGAAAGCAGATGTGATTGAACCGGGCTGGACCGATCCGCAATTGATTTGCAGTGAGAAGAATGCATCGTTTGTTAATTCCGGTTTAGGTCCATTCGGTTTAATGGTTCTTGCTTCCAAGAACATGGAAGAGTATACATTGATCAATTTCAGAATCTTTAGAGATCGTGGGAATAATAAGGAGCACGTAGTGGTCATGTGCAGTGACCAAAGCAGATCAAGTTTAGAGAAAGGGAATGATAAAACAACATATGGTGCTTTTGTGGATATCTCTCCTTATCAACCAATCTCTCTCAGGACTTTGGTGAGTCATTGCCACTTCTCATAATCACAAGACCTTGAACAAAAGTGAGACTAATTTGACCTTTTTTTGTTACTAATGAGTTTTTGATTCTTGTGTTTAATTTGTAGATTGATAAATCAATAGTGGAGAGCTTTGGTGGAAAAGGGAAAACATGTATTACCTCAAGAGTTTATCCAAAATTGGCAACAGGAGAAAGAACACATCTCTTTGCTTTTAACAAGGGATCTCAAAATGTTGATATCTTAAGCCTAAGTGCTTGGAGCATGAAGTCTTCTCTTTAAAATCAGTTCTTGAGATATAAGTATTGAGAGAGATTCTTGAAACTCTTGGTCATGTATCTGTAATAAATAAATTAGAGAAAATGAAGAAGCTCTCTTTCAATTTTCAAACTCTGTTGAAACAAACTTTCTCTTCTAGTTAGTCACTCTTCTCATCATTATCATCATCATCATCATCATTATTATCATCATCATCATCATAATCGTCTTCATCAACAAGAGCCTCTCCAGTAAACCATGAAACTGCATGAGGGATCAGTTTATCTCGGATTGTCACACTGTAAAACCCAAAAACCAATAGCTAAGGATTAATTTCTTGAATCTCTCAATATCAAAGTATGTGGAACTGTAAGCTTACGCAATGTCATAGTCTTGGTCCATCAGGTTTTGGAGTTCTTCCGTCTGCAATATTTTCGATATATTAAAGCGATATTATTAGCTGCTGAAGAAACCATTGGTGGTTCAGTATCAAAATCAAGAAGAGAAAAGGTAGTCTAACCATAATGGTATCAAAATCATCGTAATCGTCAACTTCATCAATCTCAGGAATCTCAGGCGGCTTGAAGAAATTGAAGAAACTCTCGCAGTTTTCGGTTTTGGTCATGGGGATGTTGTTGACCTTCTTTGGCCCTTTCTTTGCCTTCTTCTTCACAACAACCTTATGAGTCAAACATTTACCTGGACACCATTCTATGTCCGTTCTACACATCACAAATAAGAGACTGAGTTACATACAGATCAGGTAAAACTAAAACCAAGTAAAATGAGGATGATTAATTACCCAATCGCTTTCTCAAGAACAGGACCATCTTCATCGTTCACATGGTAAGTTTTAGACAGAACCGAGTTCTTGAAGTAAGGATTAGGGTCAAAGAGAAACTCCAGCTTGAAATTTCTTGAATTGTCTTCAACTCTACAAGATCTGATGTCTTTAAGATACTTCAATGCTCCCTCATCTCTTTCGGTTATCTACATAAACCAAAACCAGACTCTCTTTTTATTTCAATCTGTTTTATGCCAATGAACACACAAATGCCAAAAAAAGTAATTGAATCATGAACCTCGTTTGCAAGCATTTCATTGGTTTTCATTGCAATCAACCAGAAATTGGGCACTCCTTCTTTCTCTGCTTCAGCTTCAACCACACCATTCACAATTTCATACCTCTGCAAATTCTCAGTAGATCTCAGGAATCCGAACCCCAAATAACATTAAGCCAAAGATGAATATTTAAACTTGTTACCTTAGCAAAAAGCGGCTTGTAGAGGTTATCGTATGTTGCCTCCAATGCAGCTTTCTCCGCAAGAAACTTCTCTTCAAGTTCATCATGTTTAACCTGAGAATTACACTACATGTACATAACCGAACATCGAGTCTCTCTACTATAGTTTTGAAAGAATTTACAAATACCTGAATGTCCTTGAGGAACAGAACACGTTTAGTGACTTTAGGTGAGAGTTTTTTTACATCAAACGGTCGCTTTAAGGTTAGGTTCTGTAAGTTAATTAACACACAAAAGGATCATAAAACAGAGGAAACACAAGAAAACTACTATGTGATTATTATTAACGATTTGAAGTGACTTGCCTTGAGCTCTGCAAGAAGATCACAATCCTCTGCCCCAATATCTACAAATTATAATGTTTAGCTAGCTTCAATTAACCCTATGCCTTGTTGATTCCAAGAGCGAAAAAGTAAAACAGGGGATTTACTTGAGGTAGAAGTAAACGAGAGAGGGTAGACTTTTGGTGGGATTATCCAAAGATGTTTAATGTTTTATCGAGAATGAGATGTAACATTTCGTGAATTTTCTAGGAGAAATCGAGAGTAGTTTCTGAAATTACCTAAGGCGGGAATGGTAGGGAGATCAGAGGAATCGCCGGTCTTATTATCGGCCTTGATGGATGTGATGTTTTCTTCGTTGCTCATGTTTTTGATTCAGGAGATGGCAAGTCTTTGTTGTTTCGTGAGAAAATGGGAATTTTCCAGGGAAAGAAGAGAAACCAGAAAATGAGGACGACGGAGAAAGGAAGGAGGAGAAGACTTCGCGCTTTTTCATTTGTAAAAATCATTCACACGTGCCAGAGGTTAACAAACGTGGATCCTTAGTGGGGTACCATGAACTGCCAAATAACAGCAATAGGAAAAACGGCATCGTTTTTAGCTATCAAAACCCCAAAGTAGAAGCTGCAATGTTGTCGAGAATTTCACAAGTACTCATAAAAATGAACAAATAATGTATCATAAGATCAAAAAACTCAGTTCACACACACATCATTATACAATTGCACCAAAGATTGTAGTTCTAGAAAACAAGAAGATTAGCTTTGCTTACATTTCAGGTTTAGTCAAGTTTTTAAGGAGATTCAGCTATTATTCTTCGTCTTCGTCTTCATCTTCTTCATCATCATCTATATCTGAGTCATCCTCTGCTTCTAAATTGGCTTCTTCCTCACTAACAATGAAACCACCCAATGTTTCATCATCATCATCTTCGACATCTACTCTTCCTCGTTGTTTAGTTTGAGCACTGCTACAAGTACTACTTGCGTTTGTATCTTTCTTCGTCTTCTTGGATCTAGTTGAGTAAGTTGGAGTCACAACTCTTTTAGACTTCACCATTAACTCTTTATCTTCATCACTTTCAACACTCCAATCGTCATCCACATTCCCGTTCTTCCTACCTCTCTTTTTGCCTAATCCCTTCCTCACCTTTTTATCTCCATCTTCATCATCATCGCTATTTCTATTACTGGAATCCTCTAAAAACCATTCCCATTGCTTTATGTCACGCACACTACTCTTTGGATACTGATCAAATTCTTTCCCAATCACAAGAAATCCAAATTCTGCAACCACACCACACAGTACACAACTACACATTTAGACTCATTCTTACTAAAAAAAAAATCCTATCAAGAGCATAATTCAAGACATTATAAAAGAAAAGCAATGCAGAGCAACCAAAATGTTGTTTAATGAATCCAGAGACAAAGAGTTGAGAATATGTTCCCCAAAATTCGAACCATTCCCTTGTTAGGAGATAACACATCAAATTAGACGAATTGCAAAATTGATTACCTTTAACAGGATCAATATCCAATTCGATTTCACCATCCAATGCTCTCTCCTCCATAACTTCATCGCGTCTCTTCAAAGTGAACCAAATTGGGAGATTACCCGATACACAAAATCGATCGCCGGCGGCGATTTCTCCCGTCTCCGATTTCCTCAAAGTTTGAATCTTTTTGCCCGTTTCACCCGGAATTACCCAGACTGGATTCCTCCCGAGAACCTCGAAGAAAACCCTATCGGACCGTTCGGTTCCGTCGGCGGAGGGTTTGAATTCGAGTGAAACGTGGCGGCGTGACACTGTTAGGTCTTCGGTGTTGAATCCCGCTCCTCTTCCGAATACAGCCTTAACTCTGGCCTTCAGGAAGAGCTTCGTGCCGTCTTCGCCTTCGATTTCCATGGTGCTTTCTTGACTTTCACAGAGACTTTCATTTTAGCGGCATTTTCCTTTTTTTTTTTTTTTTCTTTGCCGGCGGCAACAAAACGCATCGTTTCATCGTTTTTTTAATTCAACATAATTAACCAATACTTGTCAGAAAATAATAAAATTTGTTTTTTCATAATTTCCTTATCATAATCATCAACTAACTTTACTTAAAGAATGATTCATGACAAAATCTAAAGCTTAAGCTATTTCTTGAGATTAAAGATATATATTTTACACAAACTTATATATCTCTCTTTGCTTAGACATGAAGCTTTGGTGGTCCAAAAAAAAAAAAAGACAACAACTGATTCTTTAACCAATAAATCACATTTAATTTGAGTTTAAATGTACAAAATCTTGTCTGAAAATGGGTGGTCTGCATATAAGAGATTGCATTCTTAAATTCCCAAAATATTTTCTATATTCCAAACATAACAAATGTCATAAACGTAAAGGAACTCCTTTTACAGTGTCATATACAATTTCATGTAATGATCAGCTCCTCAGATTAGAGTGGAAACGTCCCTAGTAAAGGAACTCCTTTTAACATTGCTCTCACAACAGACTCTAATTCTAAGGATTGATGTTGCATTCTCTGAGATAAACCTGCTCATAGTCTACATGCTTTGACCAGAAGCTTCTGTATCTTGGAATCCCTATCTCTAGCCATGGTTTGAGGTTACCATTATAGTGTATCACGGCTGCCCTCTCAATATCCCTCTGGTTCACACTCGGGTTGTATCCAAGGCCTAGTATGTGCCATTTCCGGTCTAGCGGATATGTTCGTCTCCAGAATGTGATGAGACCAGGCGGTAACGTCCCTAGCTTCCACAATTCTCGGTCTTGATTCAGATCCTGCCATCGATGATAAACCTCTGTGATGTTTTGCCTCTTCCATTCATCCAGATCAAAGACATTCATACCATATGCCCAACCACAAGCTCGAGGATCAAAGTTCTTGGAGATGAGTGGATTTGAGAAGTTCAGATAACGGTCAAAGCGATGAAAGCTTTCCCCACAAGTCTCTACAGCACCGTTGACATTACCTTTCAGATCAACTGACCAAAGACCAGAAAGGTCCTTCTGCACAACTATATCATCATCCAAGAAGAGCACTTTGTTGAGCTTCGGAAAGATCTCAGGCAAGTAAAAACGAAGATGATTAAGGATTGACAAGTATTTTGGATTCCGGAACTTCAAGTTTGTGTCTGAATTTGTATGGTGGGCCCTGAAGTAATAATCTATCATCGATCTAGAACTAAGCTGTTTGAGAACGGGACTGTAGCTTGAATTCAGCCATGTAAATTCTTCAACATTCTGAACCTGGATGGTGGCTTTGCCAGGTGGATTGTCCAGGAACCACATCCTCATTGCAGCATAATTGAGTCTGTCAGTGACGATGTGGAAGACATGCTTTGAGGGATGCTGCCAAAAAACCATTAAGACCGTAAGTTTAACACACTTAAATGTTCAAACAAAGGAAGAAAGTTAATTCTTACCTTTGCATTGGTTATGGTAGAGTTAACAACAACTGACGTAGCCAAAACATTATCAGAGAAAAGGGCATAGTGATAGAGCTGAGTATCTTCTAGTTTCTCCTGATTTGGGAATTGTTGTTGAGATGAATTTAAAGCATAATAATCTGTAGTGAGGCGCAGAGGGAGGCAGTGAAGTCCTTTTGGAATGGTCTTAGCAGTCAATTGAGTCAAGAACATGGTTTGCTTCTTATGGACCCGTAGCTGCTCCTCTGCGGAGTGGAGCATTGCACGTAGCTTCTTGACCACTGTGGAACAGTCATCTTGGATCTGCTTGCCTTTGGCCAAAGTTTGCTCCATTGCTTTTAGCTTTTCAGTAGCAGTCTTTGGCAGCTCCGAATCCTTGGAGGCATCTGCAACTGCCCGTTGAACTTCCTTAATACGGAGTCGAAGCTCTCTCACAAAATGTGCATTGGCCTTTGCAGATGGAAGTGAAAGATAAACCTTAGCCCTAATAAGCTGATCTTTAAGGTGCCTCAGTTGAGCATCAGGCATCAACAAGTTTCCTGTATCTTTCTTAGCTCCAAAAGCAGTAGGCTCTTGCTCATCAACTTTTTCAGAGGTTTGTTGGGTCAATTGAACATGCATCTTTTCCTACAAGATGATAATGAGATCAGTTTTTGGCACCCCTAAGGATAGTGTTACATTAGCAGCAGCCAAATATATTACTATTACCAAGCATAAAGTCAAATCTGTAGAAAACGTACCCTATTATGTGAGTCATCATGAGTGACTTGTTTGATGGAAATGTCAGTATGAGAGTGAGTATCATCGTCGGTGGCGGAAAGAACTCGAGCAGACAATTGGTCTAGCCGCCGTGAATTCTTGAGTCCTCCTCTGAGCACAGCCGGAGATTCCTGAAGATGCATGTGAAGAAGAAAGTGAAGAAACGAGCTAAGATCTGAGTGAGGCGAATCAAGTAACTGGAAACGAAAAAGGTACCCGAGGAAGCAGATTCAAACGATTCCCATCGGAATTCAAAGTCAAGGCGGTTACGTCCTCGAGGAAATCGCGTTTAGCTACAGAATGAAACAAAGAGGATGGTGATAAGAAGCAAAATCCAAATCGGAATGTGAGAAAGAGAGGAAGAGAGAACTGACAAAAGGGAGTCTTGAAGGAAGCGGCGGGATCGGTGTAGAGAAGGATAGGAGCTGCGACGGTGAGGAGCATCAAGAAAAGAACAAGATTCCGAAGCTTCACCATCATCGTCGTCGTCGTCAGATCAAGAGAGAGACGGAGCCATCAATCGTACTGTACTGTATCCAGACCACATAGATCTATTGAGTGAGAGAAAGGTAGTTTCTTTTTCTTGCTTTTTTTTTTTATTTTATTTTATTTGTAAGCAATCCCTTAAAACGACATCGTATTTGTTAACACCTTTCGTCATCTTTGTTAAATAAATAAAAAACGCATCCTTTGCTAATTGCTTTGCTCCGGCAACATTCATCTGAAGAAGAAAGAACCTCTGACGAGATTAGACAAAGAAACAAAAGATGAAGAAGACGAAAGGAAGTAGCTTTCGATTCTACGCCACTCTCTTACTCTCTTTTCTCTCTTTCTCCTTATCTCGCGCCTTTTATCTACCAGGAGTCGCTCCTCGTGATTTCCAGAAGGTAACTCTTTTTTTTTTTTTTTCCCGATCTCTCGTTCTCGATGTGAAGATCGATCTAGGGTTTATGGGTCTGAGTGATATTCTAGTTTGGTATGTGATTTCATTCACATCTGATTGAAATTTTGTGTCTTTTTTTTTTTGTCATCATTTGTGTTGGTCCTGAGCTAGTATTATTGAGTGGGTTGATGAAAATGGGTATAGTTAGCAAATCGAAGATTTCATTTCGAACGTCTGAATCCATAGATCTGCACTTGAAATTTGTGTGCATAACATCTTCCTTTGGCTATGTAGCTCTTGATTTTGTTGCTTTGTCTTGTTTGGAACAGGGTGATCCTCTTTATGTTAAAGTGAACAAATTGTCGTCCACAAAGACTCAACTTCCTTATGACTACTACTACCTGAATTACTGTAAGCCTCCTAAGATCTTGAACAATGCTGAAAATTTAGGGGAGGTTCTCAGAGGAGACCGCATTGAGAATTCCGTTTATACTGTAAGCAATATTCCAATTCTTCTACTTACCTTGACATCTTCACCATGAGATGTTGACTTTTCTGAAACAAAATTTTTAGTTTCAAATGCTGGAAGATCAGCCCTGCAAAGTAGGTTGCCGTGTTAAGCTTGATGCTGACTCCACCAAAAATTTCAAGGAAAAGATTGATGATGAATACCGGGCTAATATGTAAGTAGTAGTTATAGCATGCTTGTTCTTTGTATCTGTGTTGTCCAGCTATAGTTGACCTTAATGTGAATTGCTGTATAGGATTCTTGATAATCTTCCAGTAGCTGTACTTAGACAAAGGAGAGATGGAAGTCAATCAACGACTTATGAACACGGTTTTCGTGTTGGCTTTAAAGGGAGTTATGAAGGGGTATGTCTCTAAATTTAGTGATTCAGTTTTGCATTCTTTTTACCTTTTATCATACCAACCAATAGTTGCTTGGCTTTCGTAGAGCAAAGAGGAGAAATACTTTATACATAATCACTTGAGCTTCCGAGTCATGTACCACAGAGACCAAGAGTCTGATTCTGCTCGAATTGTTGGATTTGAGGTTACGCCTAACAGGTAGTTTACTTACTGGAATTTTGAGGTATACTTGTCGATTTATACAAGCTAACAGGTCTTTATCTTTTGGATAGTATCTTGCATGAATACAAGGAGTGGGATGAAAAAAATCCTCAGTTAACAACATGTAATAAGGACACAAAAAATCTAATCCAAGGCAACACTGTCCCTCAAGAAGTTGAGCAAGGAAAAGAAATAGTGTTTACATATGATGTCTCGTTTAAGGTACATTATTTTACACTTAGCCTTCTTTTGCTTTACTTTTTGGCTTGCTAAACATTCTCCGGACTTTGAATATCCAGGAGAGTGAAATCAAATGGGCTTCTCGGTGGGACACGTACCTTCTCATGAACGATGATCAAATCCACTGGTTTTCCATCATAAATTCACTTATGATTGTCCTTTTCCTTTCTGGAATGGTAGCTATGATCATGATGAGAACTCTGTACAAGGATATCTCAAACTACAATCAGCTTGAGACCCAAGATGAGGCCCAGGAAGAGACTGGATGGAAGCTTGTACACGGAGATGTCTTCAGGCCACCTGTGAACTCTGGATTATTGTGTGTTTATGTTGGTACAGGTGTCCAGATCTTCGGAATGTCACTGGTTACAATGATGTTTGCGTTGCTTGGCTTCTTATCTCCATCCAACAGAGGAGGGCTTATGACTGCCATGGTTCTCTTGTGGGTTTTCATGGGAATCTTCGCTGGTTACTCCTCATCTCGCCTTCACAAAATGTTCAAAGGAAACAAGTGGAAGAGAATGACCTTGAAGACTGCATTCATGTTTCCCGGTATCCTTTTCGCTATCTTCTTTGTTCTGAATGCCCTCATTTGGGGAGAGCAGTCATCTGGAGCCATACCATTTGGTACAATGTTTGCTCTCTTCTGCCTCTGGTTTGGCATCTCAGTCCCACTAGTCTTCGTTGGTAGCTATCTGGGTTACAAGAAGCCAGCAATTGAAGATCCAGTCAAAACAAACAAGATCCCGAGACAAGTACCAGAGCAGCCGTGGTACATGAAACCAGTTTTCTCCATACTAATTGGAGGCATCCTCCCGTTTGGAGCAGTCTTCATCGAGCTCTTCTTCATCCTGACATCAATATGGCTGAACCAGTTCTACTACATCTTCGGGTTCCTCTTTATAGTGTTCTTGATCTTGATTGTCACCTGTGCAGAGATTACAGTGGTGCTCTGTTATTTCCAGCTTTGTAGCGAAGACTACAACTGGTGGTGGAGAGCTTACTTAACTGCGGGCTCATCCGCTTTCTACCTCTTCCTCTACTCAATCTTCTACTTCTTCACAAAGCTGGAGATCACAAAGCTAGTATCGGGAATGCTCTACTTCGGGTACATGATCATCATCTCTTACGCATTCTTCGTCCTAACTGGCACTATCGGTTTCTATGCTTGCTTCTGGTTCGTGAGAAAGATCTACTCCTCGGTGAAGATTGACTAGAACCCAAGTGATAGAAGATGCCAACTTTTGAGTCTTTGAGGTTTTGTATGTTTGGGTGATTGTATGGTACGTAGCTGTAACAAAGTAAAAGAATCAAATCAACTTTAATTTGTACCGTTCCTTTTCAACACCTGCATTTCCACAGATGTTGGCTGAATCAATATTACATGCCTTTTTGCTATGTTCACCAGTAATCTCGGCACGAACATATTCCTTTGACAATTTGATGGAACCTGTTTTTATCCCTTAATGACACTTCCCTTTCAAAAACCTTTGAGAAGATCTTGGCGAAGTTATGACAATCAACGCATATACGTAGATTCTTGAAAACTCTAATTGGAATCCCTTCACCAGTAGCAATCAACCCAAAAGTCAAGGCTAGTTTCTCACTGTGGCCAAGTAGCATCTTCTCCTTCTGCTCTTCATCCACATCATATAGCACACAGCTAAGATCAGGAACATAACCAGCTTGCTTCATTTTTATCGATATTTCTTTCATTTTAGCTAACACTTCTTCCCTTCTTGGATGGGTACGATCATTGGCATGGAAGTAATGCAAGGTTTGCTCGTGTTGAATCCAGCTTCTTCCTGGTTCTTTTGTAACAGCTTTCTGCATCATCATAGCTCTTACATTGTTTACATCTTCCCATCTTCCTGCAGAAGCATACAAATTAGAGAGAATGACGTAGTTCCCTGCATTCTCTGGTTCAATCTCAATGAGTCTATGCCCTACATATTCGCCAATATCTACAGATAAGTGAACCCTACAAGCTCCTAAAAGGGAACCCAAGACACCAGCAGTTGGTTTAGATGGCATTCTTTTGATGAATTCAAATGCCTCATCAATCCTACCCGCACGGCCAAGCATATCAACGATGCAACCATAATGCTCAGTGTCAGGCTTAATCCCGTATTCTCCCGCTACCATGCCATCAAATATACTTAGCCCTGTGTCTTCCATCTTTCCATGGCTGCAACCAGACAAGACAGCCAAAAGGGTTACTGCATCAGGCTTTACTCTCTTCTCATCTCTCATCAATCTGAACAGCTCAAGAACTTCTCTTCCTAAACCATGTTTACTATATCCCACAAGCATCGCGTTCCATGAAATCGCTGTCCTCTCAGGCATGTTATCAAAAAGCCTTCGCGCGTAAGAGAGATTCCCACATTTTGAGTACATATCAATAAGAGAATTCTGAAGGACCGCATAGAACGGAAGTTCACGTCTCAAGACATGGCAATGAGCTTGCTTGCCATGATCTAACAAAGCAAGTCCAGATAATGCTGTTAAAAGACTAGCGTAGGTAACATAATTGGGACTCATTCCTTCACTCTGCAGTCTCTGAAACATCTCTAATGCTTCTTCATCAAGACCTAATTGGGCATATCCAGCAATAATAGCAGTACATGATACAACATCTCTCTCAGGCAAGCACTCGAAAATCTCGCGAGCTTCAACAATTTGACCAGCTTTGGCATACATGTCAAGAAGAGAGCTCCCAACAAAAATGTGAGAATCGTAATTCCACTTAACTATGAGTCCATGGATTTGCTTACCAAGAGCTAATCCAGAAGCACGTATACAAGAAGTAAAAACAGTAGCGAAAGTGAACTCATTTGGTTTCCCATCTGATCTCATCATCTCTGCAAAAACAGAGAGAGCCTCAGAAGAATGCCCAGTTTGAGAATAACGCGAGATCATAGCAGTCCAGGAAACAACATTCTTCTCAGGCATTTCGTCGAGCACTTTCCGTGCATCTTCCAAACAATCACATTTACCATAGAAGATAAGCAGACGAGTTCGAAGATAAGTAGCTGGAAGATAACAGGTTTTGATCATGTGGGCATGAACTCTCTGACCTTCTCTAAGAGCCCTTTTGTCTAAACACGCATTCAACAAAGCATCGTAACCATGGAACCCAATCTCGGGACCTAACATCGCCATCTCCAGTAAAGCTTCTTGAAGACGACCGTTGGAGCATAGTTGAGAGATTGGAAGGAAGGTTTGAAGAGCAGAGTTAGGAGACGACGAGAAGGATCGATGAATTAGTCTCATAAAGTTAAACATTTGACGAACTGGGTTTTGTTTGCATTAGAATGGTAGAATGAATAAAGCTCAATATTTGGACATTGGTTTACTTGAAGATTGAAAATGCTTCATTCCATAGAAAGAAAAAACATTACATAAGTTTAGCAATGAGATGATTGCAGAGAATGTCTCATCTATTAAGTATCCATTACAAAAACAGCAACAACAAACACGTTCAAAGCAAAAACCCAGAGAATAATCTAATCCAAGTTTTGCTCCTACCAAAAGAATCTACACATGGACTAAGATTCTCCAGTCTCAATGTGCTTCTTCTTCTTCTTCATCTTCTTTCTTGGGTTACAATAACAAACCCTTCCCAAGCTTATTTACATATAAATCACAACTCTGCAAATTGTTGAACGGCGTGTTGCGTCCCTTTGTACAACTTCCACCGTGATAAAATAAGGAGCTAGAAATATACCAACTTCTTTTCTTGTCTTCAATAGAACATACTAATACGATCAGAAACCTGTAAGAATGCGTTAAGTGACCACCTTTACAGTCTTTTGATTGCTGCTGCGTCTGCGTTCATTTAAGCACAAACGGCTTCCACCGCGAGTTTCTTCATCACATTTGGACACGGATCTCCACCAAACATCTCCGGTGCTACAGTTACAGAACACCAGTTCTGCCCAACACACAGCTGCAAGAGAAAGAATCAGCTTTTATAGCTCAAAATCAAAACAAAGAAAGAAAGAAACATCCATGTTTTTCTCTAACTTACTTTGTTGAAAGCATCATAGGAGTGATGGGCGTGACAGCTTCCTTGACGGTAACTACCACAAGTCCCTTCAGGTGTTCCGAAGCTAGCAAACTTCACGGTGGTGATCTTTTGTCCAGGCCCGCATTGTAAATGCACTTTGGGATGCAATGGTTTATTAACTTTTCCAGAAGCATGCAATTGGTAGTTCACCAGAGTTGATTGCCATTCATAGATATCTGCACATACACTGTCCACTTCTCTTCTGACCAACGAGATTCCGTTCGGGTCTCCTCCCCATTCCTCAAAGACAACCAATAGATTGCCACTTGGTTTTAGCCACGACCGTGGGACATGGTACCTACAAACAAGCATAAGACAAGTCAGATACCGAAAAAACTTCATTTATCGCAGTTTTTAGAGGTATAACGATGGACAGCCTTTTTACCATCTTTGAGAAGCCTCTCCGCAGTTTCTTAAGCACTTGTCCTCTCTGAATGTTCCGGTATAAGAACACTCGCTGCAAGAACCAACTGCTTTATATGCCGGCCAGTGACGTCCCAAGCTCTGCCCATTTATCCATATTTGACCTTTTCCCATGCTTCCCATGTCTACAGCCAACGGTGAATCTCCAGCTGGAGCAGAGAAAGTCGTCTGAAGCAAGCCATGGAGACATGTTAAACATGGAGCAAATCATTTTATCGAGATAAACTGCATTATGGTTTTTGAATATGGAGAAGCTTACCTTGTACCAAGTAAGTGGTTGCTTCTGTGCAACAAAAGCACCTTCTGCCCACTCAACCGATGAGCTCCCACTGAGTGAATGAAGACTCAGAGATTCTCCTTTAAGACCAACCTGAAAAATTGAAGTACAAAATCGGATAATCAGTAGAATGACACAATTATATATTGATAAAAACGTGTTGTATCTTTGTCTCTGTACCTTATAAGTCCATTTCTGCCATGATAGATCTCTCCGTCCCCCACTGAGACCGTTCAATGAAACTGGACCCAAAACTCCAGCATTCCATGTCTCAAAATGTGGACCCACATTCTGCATTGTATAACCACATAGATTAAGAACATCTGTAGGTCCAACTTAGTGTTTGGCAAAAAGATCGATTAGGAAAGAGTCTTGATACAATGCAAAATTGATAACTAACCGGGAGACCAACAGCGATGCTAAGTATCGCAATTTTGTTGAAACCAGCTCGTAGATTCACACCTTTCCGAAAAGTTAGCTTAGGAGAGTCTAAACTACCATACGCAGATCCTGGATAGAGACGACAAATTTTTTTTAAAATGAGGTGAAAAATGTTGACAGCAAACTGTTCTTAGCAATATTAAAAACTGTTCTTACCAGATAATTGGCCATTGATAAACACATGCATAGCATGGCCAGCTGATAGAACAGTAAGAGTTGGCAAATCTCCATTCCTCAAAAATCCTTCATTGGCATCAATTTTAACACTGCAAAGCAAAAGAAAGAGATAATTAGTTGAGAAGTCACAGTGCATTCGGTGTTGATAGAGAGATTTGCAAGTTCTATGAATACTTACTCAGTCATGTACCACAGGTAATCCGAAGTGTCTCGTGTAGTGTTGATCTGCTCCACTAATCCGACCATTGTGAAAGACTCATCAATGTAAGTTGATGGGTCTTCGTTGTATGCTTGCCAAGATAAACCACCATGAACAGGAACCCGAACCATTTTCATCCTAGAAGTTTGAGCACCAACCTACAGCCAAAACCAGTATAATATTAGTCAGTACTCAGGGAAAAACTAAGAAGCACAAAAAAGTTCATTCTTTTGCTCATATCATTATATCTGGTCGAAGCATATATTGATTATTCTTACCCTGGCTGTGTTGTAAACTGTGTTTTTGCAGTCTGGGAGAATACTAATAGACCACGGAGGTAGATTGTAGTGATTGCTCCCGAAAGAAACTTTGGCGTAAGATTTTGGATTATAATTTGCTAAGAATGCAGAACAAGCTCCAGATTTCGCTTTGTACACATGAGCCTGCAAAATTACAAATATACAAAAGTTAATCAAGTTGACCACAGCAGAAACATCCTTAACAAAAAAAGAAAGAAAAGACTTTAAGTTGAGACCTCTTGATAGTTTCCGAGAGGCATTCTTGTGGGCTCTCCAGATACTAATGTTGGTTCACACAGCTTTATTGCTCTATGCAAATCTTTCAAGTGCCCCCACTTAGGCTGCCTTTCCAGTCCTGTTTGAAAACAAATGACCATATTATAAAGAAGACAACAATCTTTATCTTTAGGAAATAGAAAAACTTGAGTTTTAGCAAGCTTACCATATTCGTCGAGAGGAGCGTCATAGTCATAGCTAGTTGCGATAAACGGACCACCAGCAGTTCGACCAAAATTTGTTCCACCATGATACTGAGCATGACAAACCGTGTATGAGAATTAGACAAGCTCAAAATAGTGATTTACTTTACTTTGTGAACATGGTGAAAAATAAAGGCCACAACTTTAGCTTTACCATATAGTAGTTGATGAAAGATCCACCCTTTTGGATAAACCTTGCAACAGAAAAGGCCATATCTTCAGCTGGGCGGTAAGGAACTGGGCCTCCAAACTTTGTAAACCTGTTGAACCATCGATCGAGAAAACATACTGAGATCACTGAAACAACAACATTAGCAGATATCCTCTTTGAGTTTCTGCTTACCATCCAGTCCAGGCTTCGGTCCACATTTTAGGCTTGTAAGCCTTGTTTGGGGAGAAGTAATCACAGTAGAATCCATTGCAAGCATTGATCTAGCAAAAAGCAAACCATAGTTTAACAAGTTAAAAGACATTCAAAAAGAAAGAGACTGAACACATGAATGATCCACATGGTTTGTCGTTGACTTCCGTAACATAAGGCAACGAAGAATTGCTTATATGATTGAATATTAATGTTAGAGACAGAAGAAAGTAAAATAATCAAACAAAAAAGATCATGAAAAGAAGTAACACCAAGCAACGCATGTGCATTTTAAATGAATACTAATATTTAATGAAATGATTTCAACAGAGAGAATGAAGAGTGACAAGAGCATACAGATAATGAAGAAAAGATGTCCTAAGACGAGACAAAAGAACTCACAATGGGGTCGGGAGCATCGTCTTGTTTGCACATGACCCAAGGGACACCAGTGCCTAGCCCCACCGCCATCTTAGCTGCCCAGTTGGTGTATGACCGTCCCGGTGCACCAAGCTCATACTCCATTGGTCCATATTCATTTTCAATCTGTAACATAACATTCCATTTGATATACAGACAAGAAGTCTACTGAGTCTCACTGTCACTCTATTGTAGGTTTGTTAAAACACACACAATTCACTTGAAGTGTTTTACCTGAGAGAGGATTATAGGACCGCCTTGAGATTCAAAAAGCCTCTCAGCTTTCATCATGTTAACAATCTTCGTGGTGAATCTTTGCATTTGAGCCTTCAAATGGAAGAAACAAAAAACAGTCAATATTTTTTACTTTTTAAGATATAATCTCAGGAGTCAAACAAGGGTCAATGAACAAGTGTTGAGTTTGATAACTTCAAAATGAAGATAGATTAGTTTTATTAAAACAAGACTAACCTTGAAAGGACCGTTATCTGTTCTGAAGCTAATCCCTGGAATGTACTTAAGCCAAACAGGAAATCCACTGAGAATTCAAACAGAAACAAAACAATCATATTAGAATATCTTGGAAATTTTTCTCTTCTTTAACTTTCTATTTGTAGGTTTAAGGTACAAGAAATTAGCTATAGTTACCCGAAGTTCCATTCAGCACAGACATAAGGACCAATCCTTAAATGAAGATAGAGTCCAGACTGTTGGACCAACTTGACAAACTTAACCAAATCATAGTTGCCCTCGAAATAATACTGCAGATGAAGCCAAAGCACACATAAAAGTGGAATCCAATGAATCAGTACTTAGTTCACACATAAAAATATCCAATTGGTGACAAATAAAAAAAAAAAAAAAAAAAAAACTTACTTTTCCAGGAGATGGCTCATGCCCATTCCAGAAAACATAAGTCTGAATCACATCTAAGCCTCCTTCCTTTGCTTTCCGAATTAGATCTGGCCACATCTACACACACAAAAGCACACATCCAGAGATAAGAAACGAAACCCTAGATTTTGATATTACTCAAACAATGGGGAACCAAAGATTCAAACTTTGAAATAAACTAACTACATTGCAACTAACAAATGAAGAGATAATGAAAGAAATAAGCAAACAAACCTCAGGAGTACTTCTGGGGTAATGAATAGATCCAGAGATA